CAAGATCAACGATTGCTCAAGATGGGAAGACAAACAGTTACATTATTGAACAACCCCTGGAAGCTAAACCGTGCGTTGTGAGTAGCTACGACACAAATGTTTTCTCTTTGCATATCATTCTCCTTATAACTTTTAGTTTTCGCGATGATCCGACCACGTTGCGCGAATTACGAATCACTCTGCATACAAAAAATGTACATTCGCGTAATTGCTATTTCCTAGGCACACATTTGTACTTTATCTTGTACAGTAACGTACTTCTATCCAAAATACAGTTGTGTCCCTGTCAATGTTAATGCTATAACTCGTACTTATAAGAAGAAATCAATAATTCCTTATGTTATCTGTATCAGGAGTTCCCGAATTTGGGTCCGCAGGAAAGTATCAGTGGAGCTGTAGCAAATACACAGAAGGTACTCGCTATCTACAGATTCATTATGTAGGAGGCCTCTGTCAGAATACCGAATGTTCTAAGAGGAGAGGCCTTGTGCTAGAAAGTTTGGAAACTCCTGATCTATAGATCGAGTGTTACTTGCTCCTACTCTAAAAACAGGCACAATTATAATTAAGTACATAAACCATTACCCGTAGAAAACACGAGAGACAATTAAACAAAAAAACTCTGTACGCCTTGCTTGGAACTATCATTTACGGCACACGTTAATTTCAGTTTGCAAGCAAATCTATGCAGTAAGACCTGAGAAACCCCTATACGTACCTTTCGAAAATCTAAATGCACATACTTAATTTGAGCGGTCCAGCGTCTATCGGAGAGTACATTAGTACTAAGTAGAAATAGCATGAACGCCCGTATTAAAGCAATGCAAAAGTCATCTAGATTTTCTTATCTACAGGTCATCAGAAGCTATATATGAAGAGATACCTGGCATAGTCGCTCTATCTTCTGTGTATATGCCGCTTTTCAGCTATCCAGATTATCCCAAAGTCGGATACCCAAAACCAATATTTCTTATTTTCGTTCATCATTATATTTCTTCATCAGGCCTAGCGACTAACTAGTTCTAACAGTAATTATAATTTTATCATCAGTTGATAGCGCAAAACAGTCTTCACGATCTTTGACTACCTATTTATTATTATAAGCAAAATTTATAAAGCTTTAGAATGTACTCTATAACCCAATAACTCACGCACGCCAGCTTATAAAAAAGTTAACGCATATTAGGTTTGTTTGTTTGTTTCAAGTTAAGCACAAAACTACACAATGGGCTATCTGTGCTCTGCCCACCACGGGTATCGAAATCCGTTCTAGCGTTGTAAGTCTGCAGACATACCGATGTGCTACTGGGGGCCACGTATTAGGAAAAACATTGATCACTAAATAAAAAAGCTATGTAGGGCTGGCTACTGAACTAGAAAAAAGGAACAAACAGGACAGGAATGGAAGTGACATATCACTTGATTCGGCTAATGATCATATAGCAGACTAAGCCGTCTCCACTTTACATAGAAGAGGCCCGGCATGGCCAGGTGGTTAGGGCACTCGACTCGCAATCTGCAGGTTCGAATCCCCGTCACACCAAAACATGCTCACCCGGTGTCCAGACTAGGACGCCAGTCCTACTCCCGGATACTCCATACGCAACTACTACTACTTTACATAGAGAATACAATCCCTGCATTACTGATTTCCTCATTCACAAAACAAATAAAACCAGAATTTCTAATCGTAAAATGTTACTCTATTGTAAAATAGTCATAAAAGTAGTATTCTAAAGTTAACTAAAGGAAAGATATAATGATGAAAACTATTGAAACACCAAGATTTCGATAAACAAAATAGATTAGCCATTAATGTAGGGATTTTATTTTCCATGTGAAGTCAAGACGGCTTAGTCTGCTATGTAATCATGAGACGGATCAAGTGATATCTCCAATTCCATCCCTATCTTGTTTGGTTAGGTCAAAAGAGGTTTGGCGTCGTCGGAACTGGATCAATGGATTTACATGATGATTAGCACGAGTATTGGGAAAGAAAATATCGCTAAATAAAATTAAAAGAAAAGCTATTTAGGGCTTGCTGCTGAACTTGAAAAAACGCCCCCCCCCTTATATAAAGAATCAAATTTGTAACTTCCCAAGAGCTAAATTAAGATTATTTCAAATAGGTTTCCCTCGTTTCTGTGGGTTTGTTTGCTCTGAATTTCGCGCAAAGCTACACGAGGGCTATGTGCGCTAGCCGTCCCTAATTTAGCAGTGAAAAACGAGAGGGAAGGCAGCTAGTTATCACCACCCACCACCAAATCTTCGGCTACTCTTTTATAACGCCCCACGACTGAAAGGGCGGGCACGTTTGGTGGGACGGGGATTGCGAGTCAAGTGCCTTAACCACCTCAGCCCCGTTTCAGTCAAAATGGCGTTTACAGATAAAATGTAAGGTTATTTTGTGATAAACCTGATATTTACTATAGAAATGAAACTGCGATGATTTGATATTGATCTTTTATAACTAAATAAATACTATATCGAAATATCTCTCTCAACATTCAAAAATTAAAACTACAAAACACCTTATAAAAAAGCTCCAGTTATCTAACTTAACAATATACTTTTTCAGTCCTTCTTAATTCATCATATAGTAACATACAATGGTTAGGTGTGTGAACAATATTATGGCACTGTGCCTAATTTATTATTAGACT